GTCACTGAATTGTACATGTAATAAAATACTGAAAGGGCACGTGTTTTGTGACTTACATGTTTACCTCAGTTAAAAAAAGAAAATGAGCAAGGCACCATTTCTCCCAATGTAGGGTGGCTATAATCAGAACACAAGTGTTCACCTCTTAGAACCGTTACCCATTGCACGTAGAAATGCAAATGCTATGGGACACAGTTTTGTCAGTGCCTCAGAAGGTTAGCCATAGAATTACCCTTGTTGTTTGTAGGTGCTCTGGGTCAGTTCCGACTCATCGCGACCCCACGGACAGCAGATTGAACGTGTTCCAGGCCATCTCCACAGTTGTTGTACATTTGCGCCCCTGCGTCATCCATTTTCATTGAGGGCCCTCCTCTCGCGCTGAGCCTCTGCGTTGCCACGTAGGGTGCATGTCCAGAGTGTGCCAGGTGCAGTGTCTGCCTTCGCTTCTGAGGAGCATGCTGGCTGTGCTTCTCCAACACTGGTGTGCTCCTTCTGCGACAGTCCGGGGAACTTCAAATATTCTTCCCCAACACCATCACTGAAACGCGTGGATTATCCATTAGTCTTCTGTACGCGTTGTCCAGCTTTCACAAATGAGTGAAGTCTTTGAAGATACCGTACCTCTGGCCAGGCATTCTTTAGTCATGAAAGTCACATCTTTGCTTCTAAACACTTTAGAGATCATTTTTGCCGCAGAATTGCTCAGTGTAGTACACTGTTCATTGATTTCCTGGCTGCTTCCATGGTTATTGATTGTGGATCTGAGTAAAATGAAATCCTTGACCAATTTGGTCTTTTTATCTGTTCATCTTGGTGTTGCTTATTGGCCACTTCTGAAGACTTTTGATCTAGTGGACTGGAATTGACAACTTGAAGGAGCAGTGTCACGTTCGTTGTCAATAGGAACACTTCAAGACCTGTCCAGAACTACAACAGTTATAGGATCCTGGCCATGTACCTATAAGGAAGACCAGTTAATAAGACGGTCAATCAAATTTATACACCAACCATTAATGCCATTGATGATGAAATAGGTTTTTATCAATTTCTGTGATCTGAAATTTATCACACGCACTAAAAATGCAGTGATAAATTACTAGTGATACAATGCTAATGTTAGAAATTAAAGATCCGTAGTTAGAAAAATATGACCTTAGTGATAGAAATGACGTGGAGGAAGCACGACAGAATTTTGCAAGACTCATGACTTATTCTTTGAAGATCCTTTTTTTTTTTTTTTTAAGTATAAACCGGTTATACACCTTGACTTTCTGGATGGAATATACAGAAATTAACTCAGCTACATCTGTGAAAGGAGAACAAAGTTCAATGTTATCAGTCAGAACCAGGCCGGGGCAAACTATGGAACAGATCAGCAGTTACTTACAAGCACATCCAACCTGAAGCTGGAGAAAATGAAAGCAGGTCCTTAGGAGCCGGAGGACGACCTTGAGTAGATTCTGTCGGAATTCAGAGACTCTCTCAAGACTAGCTCTGATGCATGGAAGACTAAAATGCATCTCAGAGGAGATCCTAAAAAATACTCTTGATGGTGAAGAACAGGATAGAAAGTTTATCATGAACTGTCCATCGCTTCTCAGCCTTCTGGCTAAGATTAAGTGTGGATCACCAAAAGGGAAGGAGACACTCGGCATTTCTCAAGGTGAACACACTGAAGGGGGGGAAATTAAGCTGCTGCTTAATGTGATTGAATTATTACATTGTACAACTTGTGAGTTGTATACCAATACATTGTTTTTAAAACAAATAAAATGAAGCTTCAAGTTGCATTACTGAAGGATTCTATAGGTAAATATTAAATGACCAAGAAAGCATCAAAAGAAGATGGTAGAAATACACAGAAGAATCAGTGCACCAAAAAGAATTATCAACCATTTCAGGAGGTAGCATAGGAACAAGAAATTAGGATATTGTAGCGGAAAGTCTAAGCTACAATGCTACAGCATTGGCAAACAGCAAGGCTGCAGGAATTGACACAGTGCCTTTTGAGATGTTTGCACAAATGGATGCGATGCTGGAGTGGCTCATCTTTCTATGCCAAGACACTTGGGAAGACAACTACCTGGCCAACTGACGTTATGAAATCCTTACTCATGCCCATTCCAACAACAGAGAAAGGCGATCCAACAAAGTGCAGAAATTATCAAGCAATTAATGCCACAGCCACGTACAATTTTACTGAAGAGCATTCTCAAATGGTAACAGTAGTACATACACAGGGAACTGCAGAAATTCAAGCCACACGCTAAAGAGGACATGGAGCGGGGGAGATCATTGTTGATGTAGGATCTATCTTAGCTGAAAGCAATGCACACATTTTGCCTGTGTTTTATTGACTATGCAAAGACATTCAACGCTGTAGGTCACAACATACGTGGATAGCGTTGAGAAGAGTTTGGCATTGCAGACCACTTCATTCTCATATGGAACCTGTGGGCACACCAAGACACGGTCATTCACACAGTACAAAGGGAGGGTTTACATCAGGAAAAGTAGGTGTCAGGCTTGTATCCTTTCACCATACTTAGCTCAGTCTGAATGTTGAAAGCAAAACATACAAGAAGATAGGCTATATGAAGAAAAATGTGACATCAGGTTTAGAAGAGGGCTCAGTAGCGACCTCTGATGTGCGGGTGACACAGGATTGCCACGATGACCCTGCAGGTCCTCTCGTCAGATTATAACCAGAAACTTGAAAGCAGAGACAAACAATTGTGTGTTGGGGTTCACTGCAGCTCTATTCACAGCCAAAGGGTGGCAACCGAAATGTCTGTGCACAGATGGATGGAGAAATGACCTCTGCGGTCTGGAAACATGAAGTGGTGATACACGCGACAACATGAACGCACCTTGAAACTTCTCCCAGAAGAACAAGTACTGTGCACCCCGCTCCCATGAAAGAATCCTAGTTTGACAAGCACATAAAATCAGAGTTGATTAGTGGAGGAATGGGAGGTGGGGGACAAAAAAAGTGAGTTTCACACAAGTAATGAAAAGCATTTGGAATATATTGTGATGGTGGTTATACAACATTAATGCTGGAGTCGATGTCACTGGATCGGAAATGTTGGAATGAACCGTGTTTGGGTGCATACATATTTTACCACAAAGTCAAGGTCGAACCATGCATGAAGTTGCAGCTCTCCTCATCTCTGTCAAATCGCACATATCATTTCTAAAAGGACCATGGCTGTGTGTGTGTGAACTTCTGCCGTACTGAACTCCTGAAGGACACAGCTCTATTCCGGACTGGTGCATGTAGCCCAAAGCAAGTCCAACACGGTCCTGCCCCAGGGGTGCTGAACCCCCAGCCTGTTTGTTGCTGTGCCTCGGCGCCTACCCTGGCCTCGTGCAAGAGTTGGGCTTTATTGGGAGGGCAAGTCAAAAAGTCTTATTACTGGGTGCCAGTTCATACCACAGCCAAAACCACTGCTGCTGAGTCCCTTATGACTCCTAGCTACAGGATTTCGACCTCTGATGTCAGAATTGCTACCCTGACCCTGCAGGTCCACTCGTAAGATTATAACCAAAAACTTGAAAGCAAAGACTGTCAATCTTTACAGGAGCAGACTGCCTCATCTTTCTCCAGCAGAGTCACTGGTGGTTTGAACCTGCAACCTTGCTGCAGTTAGCAGCCCAATAGCTTACCTACAGTCCTGCCAGGGCTCCTTGCTAAGTCATACGTGCATGCGTTATTCCACACACGTTTATGTGATCAGTAGATGGCTGCTAGTAACGTGCCCTAGTCTCCTTAGGGTCAGAATAGCAAGCAAGCTCACGCCGTCAAGTTGACCAGGGTGACCCTGGAGGACGAGGTCAAACTGCCCCCGTGAGTTCCTGAGACTCCAGAGGAGCGGCTAAACGCCTCCCTCTTTAGGGAACCTTCCTCCCCAAAAAGGTCCAGTCAAAACAGAGATTTCCAAGGGGATTGACTGGGCATTCAAGGCAGCTCAAAAAATTATAGTCACTGTATTGGGGGGTTCCAAAGGATAATCTTGATAGATTTTCTCTAAGGATACAGGACAATCACTGGAGCTTATTAGGAGGAAATGTTAAGAAATTTGAAAATTCCTTGATGAGGAAAAAACTAGGAAAGTCACACCAAAAAATTTCTCCCCATCATGACGGGCTCCCTGCTATTTCTTCAAGGGGAAGCAAGGACCATATGACGAGGTTTTCGTGGGAAACCCGCATGCCCCACAGCCCTGAGCCTGTCCCTTCAAACTTGGTTTGGTTTTCAAAACTCAGCACTGAAAAAAGCAAGATTTGAGTCCCTGAAGATATTCACATGGTATAAGTCAAAAAACAGAATTCTTGGGAGAAGGGTTAGAGAGATGGAAACACTGCCTTCAGAAGTGTGTAGACAGAGATGGAAGCGATGTTGAGAAACAATTGCTTCACATTTTTAATAAACATTGCTATGGTTTAGTAGCAATGCATTTTTTTACTTGCCCTGGTGTGTGTGTGTGTGTGTATGTGTGTGTGTGTGTGTGTGTGTGTGTGTGTGTTGATTGAAAGAATAAGTACATGAAACAGTTAATACCTGTAAAATGTCATGTCTATAACCTCCTTTTTGGGGTTATAACTTCGTGTCCTTGATCATCTCATTCTCTCTGGCCAGCTTTGCACCAAGGCAGCGGTTCTCAACCTGTGGGTTGCAACCCCTTTGGGGATCGAATGACCCTTTTAGAGGGGTCGCCCAATTCATAACAGTGGCAAAATTACAGTGATGAAGTAGCAACGAAAATAATGTTATGGTTAGGGGGTCACCACACCATGGGGAGCTGTGTTAAAGGGTCTTGGCCTGAGGAAGGCTGAGAACCGCTGCACCGAGGAGATGAGACAGTATCGTCGTGTCATCACCACCGACCTGGAGCCCTTCCCAGCTGCATCCTCTTGTTAAACCCGCTCAAGAAAATTCAGAATGAAAACAGTAGTATTGCAATGCCAATGTGTTCATTTTTCTCTCTACTTTTCAGGCTGGAGTAAAAGGGACATTGGGAAGATTAGTCGGAATTTTTGAGGTAACTGTTCAGCTCTTCTGCTAGCGGCCCCAAAGGACAAAGTAGAACTGCCCTCTTGATCTCCGAGGCGCTCGGGCTCTGCAGAACAGGCCGCCTCGCCTTCCCTCTGAGTTGGAGTTGACCCCCTGCCAGGGGCTTCTTAGGAGTATTTTTGCTAAGAGTAGCATCAGATTAGTAACCATATATGGTTTAATCGAGGAAGGCTGCCATTTTGGTTTCTTTGAGTTTTCAAACCAATAGTGGGCTTTCCTTTTTTTAATCCTAAAATCTCCAAACAACTAAAAATTGCTTGTGAGTAGCATTTCCCCCATCGTAATATCTCTCCCTCTCCACCCAAGGTGTCAGGGGAGGTGGATAAGTACATTGTAGACAGAGGAAAGTTGAAGGTAAGTAGTTAAAACAGACGAGGGAGCGGCACAGAACTTGTCAGTGCCGCAGACTTGGAGGGACGGGGAAGGAAGTGCCAACGCAGGCCTGGCTTGAAGAAAGGGGGTGAGGGGTGAGGTCTCAAAGATGTCAGTGGTGCCACTGTTGGCCACAATCTCTTCTCCAGATTTCTGGTGCTTCCTACTTGAATTCACATGGTGCATTTTCTTGAGAGGTCAATCAAGAACGTTCTCTCAGCATTCTTGGAAATTTGCGCCTAGAGGAGTAGTCAGGAAATATATATGTGTCCGTGTGGATATATGTATGCATGCATCTATATATAAAGGCACCGTTTAGAAGCCAAAGTGCATACTCTCAAGTCCAAGTGTGGCATATTTTAAATAGGCCATCTAGCACATTCCATACGTGTAGGACTATCACAAGCAAGAGAGCCCTGTGTGGGTGCCTTCTGAACACGTGCACGGGAGGGTGTGTGCATCATCTCAGCCTTGGGACCAGCTCGTGCTTTCTTTGCTCGCAGAACCAGGAGAGGAAGCACCGAACCTATGTCTACGTGCTTATTGTCACAGAAGTGCTGGAAGACTGGGAAGACTCTGTCAGCATTGGTAAGTTGTCACCCGACAGCCATTGCTGTCGCCCCAAGCCTTACCCAGAAGCTGAATCTGGAGAGGGTGTGTTGGATTTTAACGAACACGGGCATTTTTGAACTTGTGGAAATTAATATTTTGGGTGGGGGGTGAGGGGAAATCCTATAAAAGACCCAACAAATCAAAACATAACCCTTACAAAAAAAGCTTTTTTAATGTTTCTAAAAGCAAGATGTTTAGGAATCCTGGTGGTGTAGTGGGTACGAGTTGGGCTGCTGACCAGTTACAAGGTCAGCACTTTGTGAGAACTCCCAGCCCCTCTCCAGAAGCAAGGCGAGGCTCGTCACTCCCAGAAGAGGCAGAGGCACCAGAACCCCGGGGGCTGCCCTACCCTGTCCTCTGGGTCACAGTGAGTCAGAGTTGACTCGGTGGCATTGATCCTCCCCCAAAGGTGTTATACTTGTACCCTCCAGACAGTAAATCCTGATCACAGGCCTGGAGACTGCGGTGCCAGCAGGGCCATGGGCTTGCTGTGACGGTGGTCGTGTTGGGGCAGAGGGCGAGCCCGTGCCCTGGAGTGGGTTAGCAGAACTCGAGCGAGGGAAGCAGCCTGCAGTTTTCTTCACGCTCCTTCAGCTCCGCCGTGAGCGGAGCTTGATCACGAGTCCCTGTCTGTCTCGACCAGACACTGAGTTGGTTCACTCTTCAACAGCTGAAGGAAAGTGGTTCTAGAAAAGTGTAATGTTGATTTAATTTCGGATAACAGCTGACAAACATAATTTCCGTGCGCTAAGCCCCTCCCTGCCTGTATCGTGAACCCGGGCACTGCCCCTGAGTGTTGATCTGGGCAGTCACCACCCTTCCACTCTTGGTGGGTTTGGGTCTTGTAGTACGGTATGCCTAGGAACATAAATTCACAAAGGGCCCACTTTAGAGGAAGAGATGGTGCAGGGGATGCACAGCGCCCAGCTTCAGAGCCCTCTCTGCAGGGTGGGCGTCCCATTCTTGTGACAGTCGACTTTAAGGTACCAGTGCTCTGTCAGCCAAACAACGTTCACTGGCTTCTGCATCAGACGTTGATCCTGACGAAACAAAGTGTGGGGAACAAGCCTCTGGGCTTGACACAGTGGTCCCTAATGCAGTAAAGGATGAGTGGCGATTCTGTTCAGATACGCCACATAGATACAGTCCATTTTCCTCACGGAGACAGAGAGAGGTACTACTGATGACCCCTGTTTGATAGATGAGGGAATGGGGCATAGAACAAGCCAGGGCTTGGCTATGCAACATGTGCTAGATTGGTGGTTGGTGTGATTGGAGCCGAGCTTCAGAGTTTGTTCCTACCCGTGGCATTGTGCCAGAAGCTTTGGAATGCCAAAAAGTGCTCTAGTTCGAGTACAAAGCAGTGTCTTTTCAAGTATACATGAAAGAAACACTTATGCACTAAGGTTCCGAGTGGTCGTTTCTTATTCATACTCTCCTTTTCCTCCATGCTCGGCTTTTTTTTTTTTTTTAAGCACTGGCTTTTCTTCCCCTTTAGGTAGAAGAAAAAAAATAATGAAGGAGTTTTAAAGTAAATATTTAGGGAAAAGTAAGAAAATAGACTAAAACCTTCATAGTGATGTGTTAAGATTGTTTTTCCTTCTGATTTTTAAATATTTTTTCCTTTCTAAAATGTAACTATATTACGCTCACAGAACATGTTAAAGACAAACTATGAATTGAAAACCAGCTGCCCTAGTAGTTCTGGACACTGATTTTGCAGGAGATGGAGACATTGGCCAGGCGCGGCCCTTCCTGGGTGAGCCGAGTTTAGCCAGTCACTGTTTTAACTGCCGTTTTCAGATGTCACGCTGTCTTATTCTACATTCGGCATTTCTGTACATTCTGCGGTGTAAGAAGGAAAACCATCTCAAAATGTAATCTTGTACGTTGTCTCTTGTGCTTCATCTCTTTCTCTCTGGACCTCCCGCCACAGGAAGGAAGAGGGAATGGTTTAAAATCGAAGATGCCATCAAAGTGCTGCAGTACCACAAACCAGTACAGGCGTCCTATTTTGAAACCTTGAGGCAAGGCTACTCAGCCAACAACGGCACCCCGGTGGTGGCCACCGCGTACTCGGTTTCTGCTCAGAGCTCCATGCCCAGCATCAGATGACTGAAGACTTCCGGTCAGAGTGGGAACGGGACACCGGACTGAGACGCAGAACTGCCCTCCCACCCTTGCTCTTCCCACCTCTCCTCACAGGCTTCCTCTCCCCCAATAGGCATGCCGGGCAGCCGAGAAGGGTGCTGATCATGTTGCTCTTTGGTGTTAAGTGGTGGGCTTTTTCTTCTCTTTTTATTAGGGGTGGGGGTGGGGGTAATTTGTAAAGTACTTTTGGTGCATGATCGGTCCCTCCCTTTAAACATCCCTACCGTTCTGGAGAGAGGCAAGCAGCCTTCCCTCTCTGCCTTGGATTCTGAAGCAGTTCTTGTTTGTCTCATCCCAGACATGGCCAGACGTTTTTCTTTGATTTTTAATTTTTTTAATTATTATTATTAAAAGATACCAATGTGAGATAAACCTTTTTAAGAATCTGTCCCAGAATGTGTTGTTTCTGTCCAGTAGGATGGTGGTTTTCACTATAGGTTACATTTATCTACACATTATATACTTAGCATATAATATGTAAATAAATGCGTTAGAAAGAAGGAATATAGCTGTTTCATTTTTCCTCTTTTTTCCCCCTCTAATTCAGGCTATTTCTAAAACAGAGCCTCGCAGTTAATTTGTTTTTTGGTTTTACAGTGTCCTTCAATGCTGGCGGCTGGGCCAGTTTTCCCGTCCTCCTGTGTGTTCCCAGGTCATGGCCTGAGGGACATATAGGTTGGGGGAAGAGTGTAGCTGCTGTCCTAGCACTCGGGCATTCGTGGCCTTCTCTGAGCTGTTTCCACAGCAAGAAGGAATCGGAAGAAACCAATTTGCTTTTTTATTACCAAGCCAGGAGCAAATGGCCTGAGGCCAGATCCAGACAAAAGCAGTGATAACTCTTAAAGCCTGCTCTCCATGTTGACCATAGGGATTGGAACTGGATTCTTGGGATTACTGTCTAAAGAACTAGAACATCAAGCACCATTTCTATGCTGCTGGTTTGGAGCCCCACACACACACACACAACATCTTGTCCATATATGCCTTAGACCATGCTGACGGGGTATTTATTGTCTGTGCTCTTTAAAGCATCTGGCTGTGTTTTGCAAGTGCAGTTTTGCAGCCCTGTCCCTGTGTTGGATAACTGCTAAGTTCTAGAAAAGTGCACAAGGGGAAAAGTCCAGATGTCCACAGGGGCTTGGTGACCCTGCAGCACTTGGCATTGCACCAGGGGGTTTGTTCAGACCTACTAACGTCTGCCTCCCACTGCAGTCAGAAAGGGCCGTCTTCTGAGAAGTGCTGGACAGGAATGGCGTGGTCGGGCACTGGCTCACTGCAGACTCCCTGTGGATTCTGAGACCCATTTCCTGCTGGCCTCTTTTGTCCCTAGTGTCCTTGAGTTGGCAAGTAAGAGGAGAGGAGTCTAGCTGGTGGAGGGTGAGGCTGGGGGTGAGGGAGCAGACGGCCCTAGGGCCCTGGCTCCGGACAGGAGCGTGTCGCTCAGCTCTCGGTGTCACTGCCTTTGTCAGAACAGAGCAGCCGCCACTGAAAATTCTGATAATACTTGCACTTCCAAACACTTTTGCTCCTCCCTCTCTCTAAAATAAATGCTTATTTAAAACAAGAAGAAGAAAGGATTATATCTGGTTGACCTGGCACTTAGTGTTCTGAGTTTTGGGGATCCTGAATTGGTGGGCATAAAAGTGTGCTGCAAGTTGTGTTGGCCCGCTCCTCGCTGCCTGGCATCGCTCCTCCGGGCACAGGTCCCGAGGTAGAACCAGCACCAGGAGGTCCACTCGGCCTCCTTCAGAACGAGCACGCTGCTCCTGGTTGCCCGACTCAGAGCAGCCTAAGGGTCTGTCCAAATAAGTCAAGAGGGAAATAAAATAAATTCCTCTAAATGAAAAACACATTCTTCCAAGTAAACTGCACCTTTATGGTCTGGGTTTGAAAGTGCTTTACAGGAAAACAACCAGTCACGCCTCCTGAAAAGCAGTGTTGATTGTGATGTGTGTGTATTTTCAGGACCTGGAGACGGTTTTATTAGGCTGGTGTAAACAATACACTATCCCAAAGGTCTGGTTTTGATCGCGATGGTGTCTTTGAGTCAGGAGGGCGAATGGTGCCAAGAAAGTGTTTCCAGTGACCTGGGTGGATCACATTGGTGCCGTTTACTGGAGAGATTGTGCTGATGGTTTTGTAACTGACAAGGAGGCTCTGTCCCCCCTGGACATGTTGGAAGCGGGGCGTTTCCTGCTGCACTAGGGTTGTGAGGAGCAGCAGGGCTGAGGCCTCGCACCGTGACTGTTTCCCAGGCAGACAGGACACCCCTTTGGTGATGGATTGGTAAACCTGTGAGGACCAGAACCTGCCTGGCTCTCCCCAAAGGAAGCTGGGGGGATGGGGGGGAGACAAGAGGCAGCACAAAAACTGCCCTACTTCGAGAGCATTTCTTATTATAGAAGGTCACGGGCGCCCGCTTAGGCAGAGGTGTGCCATTGATTCTGCCCTTCCCCGGCTTGCTCAGGCGAGATGAAAACTGGTGCCTGGATGCAGGGAGGTTGCGTGGCTCTCCTGCACAGCAAATGTGGAGGTCTTCGGTTCTGAAGACCCCAACGGAAGGCATCAGACTCAGAAGAGAGGGAGTTGTTTTTCTATATTCCCCCCCCCCCCAATCTATCGATTGTAGCCATTGGAAACAGAGCGTGAGGTTGCGATCTTCTCTTGGACTGGAGTGTGCAAGTGTAGGAGTAAGAGAGAGGTACCCGGAGCACACGTTTTAAATTCTCTCTAACCTTCTATTTCCTTACAACCCAGGAAACAGAAGCCTTATTTTCTTTCACAGGGCAAACGGGACAGGGTGGAACAGTTCATGAGCTGGCTGTATTTCTGTTTTGTTTTTACACGTGTTCACTGCCCCCATCTGTCCTGCGTGTAGAAACTTCCCTCATTGCATACCCTGAGCCAAGGCCATCTGGTGGGATCAAAGGGGTGAGAGAGTCAGCCCCTCCCAGAGACCACTGGCCTGGAGGGTGGTGTCACAGCAGGATTTCCGCCCTCTGCATGAGGTCCCTGTCCCCAGGGAACCAGGGAGGCCTTGGCCTCTTTAAACCATTGAGGAGCAGAGGTGGCTCTCAGCCCTCTGGGAGTGTTTTGCAGTCAGTTGTAAATAGGTTGCTCTACAGTTGAGTTCCTTGGTGACAAATAAATATTTACTTTTTTGATGTTAGGAGTCAATTCGCATACGTCTCTGAAAACGTGCTTAGAAGACAAAAGTCACCCTCTGAGGTTTCTTAAAGAAGAGAACCTTCTCCACAAACGGCTCGACACCTCCCTGCCCAGTGGCAGGCTGCTGCCCTCTGCCCATGTTCCTCTCCCGTCGAGCTGGACAGGGCCTTGCTTGGCTTCCCAGTCCTCTTCCTAAAAAACAGCCTCACTGGGCCACACTTACTCCTGGTTCACAAGAAGGGTATAATAACCGCCGTGTGATTTTCGCCACCAATGTGATCTCAGTGTTTCCCAGATGTTCCTTTAGCCTGCCCTAGTTGAGAAGAGATTGAGGATTGTGGGAGATACTGAAGGCCTTTGTGTTTTGAGGGAAATGTGAGCTGTCGGTAATTGATAACACAGCTTCATGCTGGCCCATCTGCGCTTCAGAAAATAATCCACATCTTGACAAAAAGGAGGAGACGTGCAGGACTGAGCGATAGTTCAGGCAGCTCTGGGGCAGAGACCGACGACTGCATGTAGCTTTTCCTGCAGCCCTGTGTTTCGAAGCCCTGCGGGCAGCCCAGCCGCCGCAGTTCACACTGCCCAGTGGAGGCGGTGGTCATTGCTTTCGAGCCCTAGCTCTGCTCCCGCATGCCCCCAGAGGGCAGACAGAAAAGGACCCCAGAGTCTGGCTCAGCACGCTGGGTGCACCCTGTGGACAGAGGCCTGACCTTTCAGGACAGCTGAGGGAGGTCTTGCTCCGGCTGCTATGGTAACTGTTCTTGCAGGCGAGGGTTCGGCTTCCTTGTCACCCAAAGCAGCGAGACAAGTGGGACTTTGGGTAACAGTTGCACATCAGGAGTGTGGTCCGCAACACTTAAAAAAGAACTCTTAAAAAACAAATAAACAAAAAGCCTCTTGTCCTGTATCCTGTTGCTTGAGGTCACTGCAGGCCCTGGGAGCCTGCCGACTCTGGGCACCTCTCCAGTGGGGCCAGCAGTCTCCCACCCTGCCCCTGAAAGGGCAGCTTCACCCTTGGACCATTGGCCCTGGCAACTCCAATACAGACAAGAGATGTGAGAAACCTAATCAGGACATCTGAGAAAAGGCTCCCGCTCCCCTCCAGATAATCAACTAGTGTGTCCTCCCGGTTTCCTCCTCAAACAATCATCAACAGGGACAGGGAGGCTCTGGCTGGCTGTTGATTCCAGCCGCTGCGCTGAAGCAGGCCGTGGCCTGGTGTTTGCCTCTGCACTGAGCAGCTTTCCGAGGAAGAGGTTGCCTTGCCCCTGGAGCCCTGGGTACAGCATTGGCGCTTGTCTTAGAAACGGAAACAGTCCATCTGGGAGGAAGCCTGACTGGGGACTCAGCAGACCAGGGAGGGACTCTGCTGAAGAAGGCAGTGTTTTGACCAAAAAGGCTAGAAGGTGGAGAGAGCCATGGCTTCTGCCCTGCAGTGATTGATGACTCAAAACTTCCTTCTGTTCACTTTCTCAACTCCTGACCCCCAAACTGATCTGACTTCTTATGGGCACACACACATATAAACCCCTCGAGAGAGGCTCTATGACACAAACAGTGGCATTGTGGCCGTTTTACCCAGGGCACCGCCACCTCTGACAGGCTGGATCACTGAACTGCACGCAGACATGCTGGTTCCCAAATAGTGACCTACCGCACTCCCTGCTGTGACTGACTGCTCTTCTGCCGCCACCTGAGCTGGTCCAGCCAGGCATTTAGAGCAAAGTCGTGGGTCATTGGCGCTCCGTAGGGGAAAGAAGGCAAGATGCTTTTATCTAGATCCTGGGCCTTGAGCCCATACTCCCCTTTCTATCATGCTGGGTGAAGTCTCACCTTCAAGAAATAGTTTTTTACTAGTAAAATTGCCTGTACACCGCTCCAGCAAGCTATCCGGCATGAGCCTGTCTTCCTAAGCATTTTCAGGCGGAATTGAAAATGTCAGCTTAAAGCATTGGCAGAACTCTGTATGCTCTTTCCCCTCTTAGCTGCCCCATTGGGCTGGGGATGGCCGGGGGGTGGGGAGGAGCCTTTCAGCGTCTTAACCTTGGTCTGTTAACCTCTATCTATTGGGGAGAAACTGTGTCAGTAGTAAATGATCCAGAGACATCTGGTGTAGGTGACAGGCCCGCAGCAGCCCCCGAGGCCAGGTGGCAGGTAAGGTAGGACAAGAACAAGAGCCTCCTTACAGAGAGCAGGCCTGGCTGCAGGCAGGTCTTGGGAGCTGAGCACTGAGTGCTCTGCTAAGGGGAGGGTGTTCAGGGCCTGTGCTTCGGAAGCCCGAGAGAGGGTGGAAGGGAGAGGGCAGGTATCAGAGCTCTTACCATGCGGCTGTGAACATCTCTCCTCCAAACTTTTCCAGGGGACTCACCCCCTCCAAAACCTCGTTGATGAGCCTCAGTTGCATTGTGGTGGACAGAGACGTGGCGGTGGTTGAGGTGCAGGAATGGGAGCCCAGTGGTGGCGTGGTGGGAGCTTTAGTGGGAGAGAGATTGGCCGGCAGAGCGTGTGTGGGGCAGTATCATCTGGGCCCAGTAATGCTCCCACTGGCTTCTCATCAGACAGAGGGTGGGTAACTGGAACTCAGACCACAGCCGTGTGTCCACTCCTGCCTCCATCACAGGAAAGAGCGCTACCACTTTGCCAGGTGCTCAAGTGAAGTCTTTGGAGGCTGTGGGCAGCGGGTTCAGAATGAACATGATGCACGTGCGTGCGTCTCTCCCACTCAGTGTCAGACAGGAAGCGGCCGCCCGCTAGCAATCGCATTTGCACGCCTAGCTGCTGTCTGCCCAGCCTTTGTTTCCAGGGCTTGTCTTCTGTCCTCGTCCTTGCCAGTGGCCTAGCTAGGTGACAGCGGTTTGCCCGTGCAGGGCATGGTCTCCAAACAACCTAATGGTTTTCGAAGGGCTTTGGGTCCCCCCTCTGATCACCTCCTCTCCATCTGCATCAGTGTCAGAAGGTTACCAGTCCTATCTCAGAATTAGACCTGCTTCCCCCAACGTATCACGGGGTATCACCCAGATAATAGACAAAGTTCAACAGGTGTTTCCAGGGAACTCCCTCCTCCTCCACACACACCCCTTGGATTGAAGCAAAGTAGCCAAGATTATTGAGTTTGTTTGAACTTTTCCTTGTGCCTTCCCCATAGCGTTTCTGTACCTGAGCTGAGGCTCAGCTGGTCCCGGCCAGTAATGACTGCAGAGCAGCAGGAGGCCCACGCACAGGACTGTGCGACTCCTGTCCCCTTCCCTCAGGGCCACCCAGAAAGGACCTCCCACCAGGTCACCTAGCCCCTTGGCCAACAGGCTGAGTGTGTGAATCACTGCCTAGGCAGTGGGAGTCATATTTGTGGAAAGGGTCGAGCATGAACCATCGGCAGGCTGACTCGGCCTGGAGCAGAGGGTGTCCAGAATAGCCCTTGCAGAACTCAAAACAGACCCTGAGGAATCCAAGGAATGGCACTTGCAGGGAAGGAAGGAAGGAGGGCTGGTTGTGTTCCTTAAACCTTTTCCAACCAGCTGCTGGTTTAAGGATGCGGGGATATGGGAATACTACTTCCCCACCTCCATCTGGGGCTGCCCCATGACTTCAGAATGCCCTACCCCATGGGTGCATGGACTTGTTTCCCATTTGGGGGAGGGGGGTGTCCGCTCCCCTCCGCCCCCCACCCCACCCCATGTTTCCAAAACAGCCTTGCTTGGCACTGCATGGAAAATCGGGCTTTCCTTCCTGCCCTTTCTGCTCGGGCCAGGCCTCTTCCCCGGTGGCGTCCCAGTCCTTGTAAGGGAGGCCTCGAAGTACTCAGACCTGGGGGGAGCGGGGCTGGGTCCAGAGAAGGCCAGAGGTGGGGGTTGTGTTTTCCTGGTTCCTTTTCTTGAGGGAGATGTCTGGGCCCCCCTCCCCCTGCCTCTCCCTTGCACTGGGGCGTGTGCCTTCCAGATCTGGTGGGACCCGCCGGCCGGTATGGAGGAGAATGTAGGGTCCTGCCCTCGGGTGTGGACTGAGACCCGTGCCCAGCAGATGGGAGTCCTGCTTTCCTTCTCTGCTGGCTGGCTGGCTGTGTGTAACTGTCCTTCTGTATTGAAGCGTCCCTTATGGGGTACCAGCAACCATCAGGGCAGACAGTCCCCCCTGTAGTCTAGATGGAGCTTTGGTCCTCCCCCTAAATCCCCACCCCACTCCTTTTTGTACAGTGCTTAACCCTGTGAGTGTGCGGCCCCTTTCTGTGTGTGACTCAGTTTCTTGCCATTTGAGCTATGTGGGAGGAGGGAAGGGGATTGGAATTGTAGGTTGTAATCTTGTGCCAATCAATAAAAACCAGTATTTCACACACATCCCTGCCAGAGTCTGGTCTCTTCTTTCAGAGCTTTGTCCTTGGCATAGTCCTCTTGGGCTTTTACCTCCCTCCTCTCCAGGAGCTTTGGGACTGGCACCAGGCTCCAGGGCGGCCTGGGGCAATGTCTTATTTGGGGGGATGCCTGTGAAGGATCAAGTGGGGTGGGGGGAGCCTGTGGGCAGTCGTGTGAGCCTGGTTGGCTTCCTCTTATCAGTCCTGTTGCAAGGGGCCCAGGGAGATCCCTGTGCAATACTGGGACCCACCCCAAAGAAGCACATGGGAGAAAGATAAGCTGACTCAGGCACAACAAGGTGGCAGGCTGTGGCTTAACTGCATCAGAGCAGCAGGCGGGGGAGGGTCCGCTCAGAACCAGGCAGGCTGTGGGGAGGAGAACGGCATTAAGGCAGCTCCTAGGCCGACGACAGAAGGAAGAGCATCTTCAGCTCTGATGAACATGTAGTGAGGCCAATCTACGGAAGCCCACAGTAACCAGCCCGAGGGGTTGGGCTTTCAGCATGTGCAGCTTTCTTGAGCAGGGCAGTCTTGTGATGCCAGCCATGTTAAGGGCGAATCAGCAGGAAGGGGCGAAGAGGAGGAGCAGTCTAGGAACAGAGCAGACCAAGAGCAAATGGTGTCACTGAGAAGACAGACGTCTGCCCAAAGGCCAGGTGGCTTCCCCAGGGTGTGGCTGCTGATGGCATCATCGCTCAGCAGATTTTGTGAGCCTAGGAACTGGGTAGTGGTTAGTGCCCCAGGGGGTCACTTCTGGGGCAAGACACTCACTAACCTAACTCACAAGAGACTGAGCTATACGATAGCCCAAAGTAGAGAGTTGGTGACTTTATTCTACCATTGGGCAAATCCCCCATCCACTGGTCAGGGCCCCTTTCTCCCCTTTGGTCATCTAGAGCTGACCACTCCTCCTTCCCCTATCAGAGCTTTCTTCTGCCATATTCGGCACCTGCTAAGGGAAAGAGCTTAGCTGAAAATGCACTAATCCATCCAGGAAGCCACCAACTAGAACCCTCTAGTTGTGGTGTGGGTGTTCCAGAAATCTCCCCCACCCTCCCTGTCAGATCATTGTGGGCCGTTTTATGGTGAGCTGTCGCATGAGCTGCTGTTGCTGGTTTCCATCACGGTCTCAGAGGTGGGTGCACGTTTTGGAACAATCTTGCTGCACTCCGGGCTCCCAGCAGCCTACATCCACATCGTGTAGTTAGAGAGACCCCCAAAGCTCCGAGCACGAGTGATGGCTGGGCGAAAGTTGGCCCAAAGTACACCAGTGTGGTGCCAGTGTGAGCTGAGCCCGGAGCCCTGCCCATCCTCCCTGGAGACCTGGTCCTTGTGCCCAGGGGAGCCTGTGCTCGAAGCCATGACCTTGTGTGCTTTCTGCATTGCAGACAGATTGAGGTGTAAAGGGTTTCCTTTTCTCTCCTTGGTCTTGTGACACCCAGCTAATGTCTCCGCCTCTGAGGACAGCCAGGAGGCTCTGTTCTGTGCCCTGAATACCAGCCGAGTGCTAATCCAGGACACACAGCCCTCACCGAGGCACTGGCTTGGGCATGAAGTGGGAGAGGTGACATCCTGGGGCGGGCAGTGTTGGAGAGCGCTCAGGTAGGAGGGTGATGGGACTGGCAGGAGGTAAGAGGTTGGCAGAAGGGAAGAAGGCTACCTGGTGTACTAGAAGGTGTGCCCGCTGGGTCCAGGCAGGGCCTCACTCAGCGACCCCGTTAGTAAATTCCTATTCAGGCTGGCTCTTAGCCCATGGGGCATACTTCTGCCCTGCAAGCGTGTCAAGCGTCCCATAGAGGCAGGGGTGTGTGGTGCCATATTGCGGCGTGATCACCGCCTGTTTGAGGTGTGCCAGGTTCACAGAAATGTACAGAGGCATGAGAGAGCTGAAGGAGGCATGGACTCTCCCAGCAAGGTCAGAGAGGCCTTCCCAGTGGGAGCTTCAGCTGAGGAGACCCCCGTTGTGTGGGAGGGCATGAGGGGCGGATAGGCCCTGTGCTCAAGGACCTGCTGGGACTGACACTCGATAGGTACCGGGTCAGGTGGTTGGCAGGCAGAGCCGGAACTGTGCTCTGGAAGCAGCAGCAACTGCATCAGGCTGGATGTTGCTGAAAGATGATCATCGTTGGATGGACTGTGGGCACCTCGTGGTCCAGATCATGCTAGGCGCCCTGGCGAACGTTGGGGTCTCCCAGTGTGTACATCAAAAAGTAGGGTTGACACTAGCCTGCAGTCTATGAAGGGGCCCTGCTGGCGTGCTCTGGGTTAACCGTTGGCCTGCCAACCCCGAGCCATCAGACACTGAGGGAGAAGTAGGAGGTGGTCTGCTGCCCTGAAGTCTCAGGCGCCCTCTCTGGAGTTGGGACTCCATGGCGGTGCGTTTGGTTTGGGCATGCAGGGTGAGAATCACCAAAATGCAACACAGAGCCACAGAGGACGCGCTTGCTGTTGGGAAGATGGCGCCTACACATGCTTGAAACGGGTGCCAGAAACCTGCCCTTTCTTTAACCCCCCACCCCATGTGTGGAATGCAGAGAAGTGAGGCAACATAACATGGACCTGGGGCACCTGTCAAACATGGGCCCTGTTGTCCACACCAGTCCGTGGGAAAGGAAATGGAGACCTGGAGATGTTAAGTACTTTGGGAAGGAAGTTGGCAAGCTAATTGTAAAAACGAGAGGTCCCCAGGGTGGCCCAAGGCCATTTGGGAGAATGAGAGAAGGGGAGTGCCCTGTCCCCGTCAGTGTCGGGACTTGGTGGGAAGCTGTGGTAATGAGAACACTGGGATGCACAGGGGCCAATGGATAATCTAGACGAGGTACTAGATTAGGGGCTGGGGCAAGTAACAGGCCTCCACCTACGGAGGAGCCGTGCACGGGGTGAAGGAAGAGGGCTAATCCGGTGTGCGAGGGCCAAATGGAAAATAAGGTTCTTACCTTACACCTTAACTCACTGCCATTGAGTCGATGCTGACTCAGCAACGCTACAGGCCAGCGTAGAACTGCCCCGTGGACTTCCAAGACTAAATCTTCACAGGAGCCGAAAGCCTCATCTGTCGCTCACAGAGCAGCTGGTGAGTTTGAACTGCTGACCTTGCAATTCGCAACGCCGTGTGTCACCCACTCTGGCACCAACTCCAAAAGCCACCCTCCTGCCATCAAGCCGATGCTGACCCAGCGGCCCTAGAGGACAGGGCAGCTGGTGTGTTTGCACTGCCCGTCGTGTGGTTAGCAGCCTGACCCCGACCCCACCATGCCCCCGGCTCCATAAGAGAATTCACAAATAGGGAAAAGTGGATTGCATTGCACATGACAAAGTAACATCTCCAGGGTCGACACCTGGCGTCACACCTGCTGGCTCTGCATGCCCACTGGGCCGTCCTCGCCCCTCGTCTCCACTCCTCTCCCCAGAGTGATAAGATAGGACAGGATAGAACTGCCCCTGTCCATTTCTAAGACTGTTAACTCCTTATGTGAGCAGAAAACCCCATCTTTCTCCCGAGGAGCAGCTGGTGGTTTCAAACTACCAATCTTGCAAATCACAGCATTGGAGTCTGGAACCCTGGCAGAGATTACAGATCCCTGGCTGTGCTGTAAACAGCCAGCTCCCCTTCGCTTAGAAACATCATTTTAAATGGTGAATGGTAAAACGAAAAAGCATGTCTCTCCCACGCTGGCCGCCAAGCTACTATGCAGCTGTTTCTCGTGGCCTAGATCTTCAGTCCGCCTTGCATCTCGAGCTCAGCCACGCACCACTAACAACTCCATCCGCACCTTTCCTGTGCCCTCCTACGAAGGAATCGAGCCTTCCCGGGAGGAGATGTGCAGATTAGAAGGGGCCTGGTGGCACAGTAGTTACAAGTTAGGCTTCCGACTGCAAAGGCAGCAGTTCGAATCCACCAGCCAATCAGTGGGACAAAATTGAGGCTTTCTGCTCTCGTAAAGACTAACAGCCTCAGAAGCCCTCAGGGCAGTCTGCCCTGTCTTACGGGGTTGCTATGAGTCAGAATCGACTCGATGGCAGCGTTTGGTTTTGTTTGAGTGCAGATTGAGGTCACGGTGGGCTTCTACCCCCCTCCACTCATCCCCAGTGGCCCCCACATGGGCAAGTCCAAAGGCCAATTAGCTGTTCTCATCTGATGTCTCCTCTGGCCTTTCCCTCTGTGGTGGCCCTAGCACGCCTTCTGGCTCAGGTTCTGCCTCCGTGACAGCCTTTTCTCTGTCTTCCAAGTGGGCCTCCAGGCTTTCCTGCTGTGCGGGGTGGGGTGTTCCCAGAGCCCCAACCAGTCCACAGCATTTCTGAATATCTACCTTCTTCCTGATAGGCCCCTCCAAGGCTACAAGACCTGTGAGCTGATGGGTGGTCGTATTTTGTCGTTCAGTCACCTGAGTCAGCACTGTGAGTCCTCTCTTACCCCAGCGCTCCCCTCCAAGTCCGCCTCACCTTTAAAACGTCAGCCCCATCAGCTCTGTTCCCACGGCCATCACTGACGTTCAAGCCTGGGTCAGGAGGCATTCCAGCCTTGTCAGGAGTTCGAGGCTGGATCTGGCTGTGGTCTCCTGAGGCTGCTCCTCCCTGGCCTTTTGACCCTTCCTCTTTCTCTGCCAGAAGGATGCTCCCAAAAGCGCTGCTCTGAGCGGTCAATCTCCTTCCTAAACACGGTGGTTGGTAAGCAGAACCTTTCAGGATCACGTCAGCTCCTTCGATTAGTATGCAATATTCCCTGTGACCAGGCCCTGCTCACCTCTAGCTTGCTTTCTCTTCCTGCAGCCCTCCAGGTGCATTACATGCCTGCACACCTGCCCAGAGCACACGTGCCCCAGCCTTCTTTGAGAGCGATCCTTGAGGTGCCCTCACCCCGGACTGGGCCGTGTGGCCCGCAGGATCTGTCTCCGCGATGTCCAGCAAAGTGGTGCCAAGCAGGCGCTTGGGAAATGTGGGTTAGAGAACATAAGGAACACAAAGGGCATTTAGGTCCACAGCGTA